CAATCGTTTTTGGTCAATAGACATACCCTCGAAATTCTACGCAGTTTCGAGAAAAAAATTCCTTACCGAAAGTATTTTTGGGTCCAGAAATGTCACTCTAAAATTTGTATTTGAAGTTCGTTAGCAGTGATCGAATATCAATAAAATATTTGAATATTAGATGATTGGAGTAGTTACAGCCTGAACAGTGGTTAATTATTTGGAAATTTGCTTAGGCGCGTGAGTCGCGTCTGCCGGGAATCGAACAGCGTCCTTAAGTGGCGATGGAGGTGGCACGAAATGGAGAGTCAACCCTCTCGCGAACGCTCCAGCCGTGCAACCCCTCCGGGGAAACAGGCTTGAAACCCGCGCGGATTGTGCACTACCCGCTTCATCGCGCTTCTCGCCGTTACCGAATGGGGAAGCTTTGAAATTCTCGTAGCACGCTTCACCCTTTCACGCCGAAACACACCTAACCGGGGGCCACCCAACCGGTCTACGAGAACTGGGTCGCATTGACATTTCCAATTGTCCTACGATCGTAGCAGAAACGAACGCGAACGAGATTTCACAATGAACTCCGATCGGTGTTGCGCAAATTTTAAACGAAACAAACAAAATTTCGTTCAACTTTACTTGAAATCGAAACCTAACCTCAAACTGTGTCAACTGCTTGGTCACTTCTAGCGTCCGGTTCGAAATCGTGGCATCCACTGTGTTATCAGCGTGAAAACGCGTCGAACCCCCGATAAGGTTGTTTACGAAAAAGAAAAAAATGTAATTTACCGAATTGTCCTTGGTCGCATTACGCAACCGCTTTCGCGTAGTACATAGAGATCGTTTCCCTCGGTGCTATCCGTTCTTACGTAAATCGCAATATCGTTCTCCCTCGCTTACTCGCGACCTCATGGCGCCGGCCTCGAACTACAATAAATTTACGAAGAAACGATCCATGAAAAATTAATTACCGACGCTGCCCGATTAATCGACGCTCGACCGCGAGTGGTTAACATTTTGGCAGCAACCCTCGAGCCAGCAGCGTTTTCTCGAGAGAAAACAGAAAAGAAGTTACGATCTGTCCGTCATTCTCGTTTCTCTGGGAATTAGAATGTTTCTTGGCGAAGAAAATGGATCGCGTAGAGTTGTTGAACTAGAGCGGAGGACGCGTTAGACGAGCAGCGAAGTGACAGTTTCTGGGACACGAGACGCGACGATGGTGGTTATCGAGCGAGCGCAACTTTCTCGATAGGTACGAGTCTCGATTCCGAGCGCATTGACGGCTGCTTTCCAACCAACGAACACAGTCTATGAAACACGTATTTCCTACTCGAAATATAACGAATAAAATGTGAACGTTATTTAGAAATTGGAATTCGAAACACACGTTGTGAATAAATCCGTGATACTTTGTGCCAATAATATTTTGCACATATCAGATTACAGTGTGGGGGACCGAAGAAAATGTAAAAAAGTTGAACAATCCAAACGCTCGACGCGCCGAAAGATTGACGCGATAGGAATCGACAGGCTTGCGTCACCGACGTTTCCACCTTTCGAGACAAATTTAGAAACCACACGGGAATCATTCTCCCCGACACCGGGACCTACGTCCATCCTGCCCTCTGACTTTTCGCGAAGAACTATAAAGGGCAATCTTTCAATTTCCAACGCTACTTCCTCCGGATGCTTCAACGCGTCGAGCGCTGAGCAAGTTTTTCACGTCTTTCCATTTATCGACGAACGCCGCGGAGCCATTCTAAGATTACCCTTAATATTTATTTGAATCCAGCGACGGATCTGGAAGAGGTCAAAGGGGAGAGTTAACTGAAAAATCACGAAAAAATTCTGGATTTCGAGAATTCGAGACTCCCATCCTCGGAAATTTATTAATACGAATAGTCTGTTTCATGTGGTCGATTACCCAGTATTTTAAAAAAATTTGTCGTAAAAATAAACTGAACGTTGGAAATCTTCGTCGTTGGTTAGCATTTATCGCCACGCTCAAAACGAGACTTGTACACCGCGCTCGGCTCGATAACAGAGCCGATTTGACCCCGTGGTATATTGAACGTCGTTTTTTTCGAATGACCTGCTGAACGAGCCGTAAAAGTTCGTCGTGGTAGCTGGCGAGACACTGTATCCATCCGTCATAATTCCAAGAGACGTTCGTGACAGTTCATATAATATTTATCGTAAACGCGAACGTATACGTCTGTATATCTACTTTCAGCGATTTCACGCACACGAGGATGCTCGCACGCGTGTCTAAACCTAGAAAGCTCGTTAAAACGAAATCGGGTCGACCTGGATTCTCCAACGTAATGAAAGAATTGACTGATCAAAAAAAAACTGTTGTCGTGGATGATTTCTATCGGTACATAACCTCCCTTCGAATACTTCGAACGCTTCGAGTCGAGCGGAAAAAATTATATCCGATAAGATTGCCCGATCTTCCAATATTCTTTCGAGATTGTTTAACGTTTTTTTTTAATTTGAACGATACTCGAATTTTTTCGCGATTAAAATTGACGGGAAAACCGTGATAAAGCGAAAGATGGAGACTGGTAGGATTTTTGGAACACGGTTGATGAGAGGTTCGCCAGAAAACGAATCGTAGAAAAGAATGCGGCGACCTCTGCAACTAAAAAGCCTCGTTCGTTACGCAAATACGTACGAGCGTAAAGCTACGGCGAAACGTCACCGATGTGACACGATGAGACGTGGACTGAGCGAGCGAGCGAACAACGGAAAGACAGAGCAGGCCTGTCGTCGGCCTTGGCGAAAAGAGTAGACCTCGGCAGTTGAAGTTGTTCGATGACCGAGAAAGAGTAGGGAGAAGAGAGCGAGAAAGAGAGTTCACGGTCCGCCACTACGAAAAAACGATTACCTTCCGCTAAAATTTACGATTAACGTTATTAACGATTACATCGCGAACGATCGCCGCGTGAAAATAACCTAGAAACGTTCCGGGCACCGTAAATCTAGCAACATTTGATAATCGCTGTAGATTACATGTATCGCGTTGCCCCGACTACGTAGAACAAGTTTGAAGTAGGTAAACTATCGATCGTATGGCCAACAAAATAATACGAAATATACTTCGAAAGCCCAACCAGAGGTCATAGACATCGGTTTCGATCGAAGAGATCGCGTACAATGATAAACATTCTTCTCTCTGATCGGTGTGGCTTTCGTAAATGTAATCTTTTCAGTAATGTCACACGACGAGAGTTTCACCGAATACACTTCTTAGATATGCGCGTCGATAGAACGAGAAAACGAGACGAGTCTACTTATCGACGTTCGATAGAGCCGCACAGTGGAAAAAAGGATGACCAAAAATTGATTCGCGCGACACCATCGGTCAATATCGAACATACACGCGAGAAGGAAGCAAATTCGCGAATCCATCGATGACTCGTAGAACTAACTCAAACGTAACTACAACGTGCTAGCCTTTCCATGGGTCACGATGGGTGTTTATCAGCCGAGACGTATCGAAGCAATATCGAAAGCTCAATGATCGGTTCACTTGTCAAAGGGCGTGTGCTCGTCGTTCCAGCGCGTGTACGCCGCTACGAATACGTGTAACGCATGCTTCTATGGTTTATCGGTATTTCAAGCGTAAGCAGGTCGAATATCGTGCGCGAGAGAACAGACAAAAGCTGCCGCGCAATGTATCTCCGATTTCTCCGTGCCATATATGGGGTCAAATGTCGGGAGAGAAAAAAATCAGTCGCCGAAACATCGATCGGGTATTTTGCACTTCTGGCTGTCATTTCGCGAAACCATGACGAAACTATCGGCGAACAAAACCCGTTCAACGTCGTCCACGGACGGAGAAAATGGGAGCAATAATTTTTCAGATTCTTTAGCGAACGAGAGAGAATTTTGTCGCCGGCTATGTAAGTAAGATGGCGGCGATCGAATCGTACGTTAAGGCTGGCGCGTCGCGTGCGTCGCATGCACCCGTGCGAGCGGCAAGCGACTGCCTTCAGACGGTCTACCATCGCACGGTAACCTAACGAACTTTGCCAAAATGACGATTCGTTCGGCGAACGATCGAGCCGATGCCTGGATCGCACAGTAATGCCAAACCGACTTGTTTCGATCGCGAATATTCAAAGAAACCGCAACCCCCCTATATAGGTTATTTCGAGCGATACGAGGAAAGGATCGGCGGATTGCACGGCTACGGGGTTCACACGGCTCGCTGTCGAATACACTTCGTATTAATTGCGACCGATATTCCACGAGACATTGCGTCCAGCTACTTTCTCGGAATACCGCGTTCTTGTACGATTATATCGGAAAAAGGACTCACCTTTGGAGAGTTGTGAAGCGGCCTAGAAAATCGAGGCTTCGGAATTCAACGGCTCCCGTCCACTACGATCTCACAGAATGCACTGGCGCAACGAGCGGAAGCCGCCATCTTGAACTGCGTTCACTTGACGCTTTCCGCTGGTTCGAAAAGCACATTCGCGTTCCCGCCGTTTCTCAAATCTGCACGCACAAATTCACTGATTAAAATTTGAATTATTCGTGCGAAGTACGAATGGGCAAATTATATTCGAACGACGAACAGCATACTAATTTATATTCCTTTTCGGTATTCGGTATGCAATTACACGTACGAATACAAAATACACGGTATCTTGTAATCGTCCATGAATGCCGAATATATTAGCGTTTTATATTCAGTGGCTGAGTAAGCGCGGAATACTTTATTCGATTTCAGTATTCAGTACATTTTAATCTAGATAACGAATAACGAGTATTAATTAAAATTCGAAGACATAACCTTGGACATCGATCCAATGATTTGCTTGATTCCTGAATAATTATTTAGCTTGGAAACTTCGTTCTTCAAATAATAACTATTTATGTAGATTCGCGTACACCGTGCATTTCCAATTAAATTATACATGTATTCGATCCATAGTAATATGTAGATTGAAATAACGGTTATGACGTTGAACGTCAAATTTCGTTCATATTTTCGTAACTTTATTTAAATCGAATTGATAATAATTATACCGTTTGTTTGTTTGAAATGTACGTTGATCAAAGAAAGGAAACGTCAAGAAATTCTACCGGTATTTGGGCGATTGTATGGCGCCATTTTTCTCGAAGCTCTACAGCACATGTTTACTCGACTAATAACTTATTTCATCGATGTACATTTTGGTGTGATTTGTAACATATTGTTGTAACAAAATGCCGAAATCAAAAAGAGATAAAAAAAGTAATGTCATATCATTCCAATCTGTGGTCTTATTGTTCGTTTTTCGTTCGCAAATGCGTACTTTTTCGACTAACCTAAAAGTGTAGTAATATTTAAGATGCAATTAACAATCATGCGAGTTAAATAATTGATAAATATTTTATATTCCACAGTATCTCTTACCAAAACGAGCAAAAAAGGCCTTGCCTTGAAGCAACACATTGTGGAAGATGTTAGAAGTTGCGTTGAGAGATATCATAGGATATTCATTATATCTGTACACAATATGCGTAATAATAAACTGAAAGACTTGAGAGCGGAATGGAAAGATAGCCGGTTTTTCTTTGGCAAGAACAAGGTGATAGCATTGGCTTTGGGCAAATCAAAGGAGAATGAAATTTCAGACGGTCTGCATAAATTGTCAGAGGCATTGAAGGGACAATGCGGTTTGCTTTTTACAAACAGAACTAAAAAAGAAGTGTGTACTTCATTGCCACAGTTTTAGAAATCTATTATAAATACATGTGCTAATCATACTTATTTATTTCTCGTTTAGGTATTAAAATGGATGGAGGAATACGAAGTATTGGAATATGCTAGATCTGGTTTTATTATAGATGAAACCATAACGTTACCCGAAGGACCTATGCCAGATTTTGCGCATAGTTTAGAACCTCATTTAAGACAGCTGGGAATGCCTACTGCTTTGCAAAAGGGTGTGGTAACGCTAATCAAAGAGTATACTGTGTGTAAAAAGGGACAAGCCTTAACTCCTGAACAAGCAAGAATTTTGGTAAATATAACAGTTACTTTTCTCAAGACAATGGAACGAATTCAAATGAATATTTCTCCTTTTAGAAATTACTGGATAAACCATTGGCTACTTTTAAGCTGTCACCATTAGGCATATATTCAAAGAAGAATGGATACAAACAACTTGCTTCTCAAAACGATGCTAAAAAACGTGTAGAACAGATGGATGTAGAAGACACAAAAGAAAACGACAATTCGTGATGTGCATGTTACTGCGTTAAAAAGAATTAACAAATTTGTATATACATAAACATACTTTGTATATCATGTACAAAATATATTATTTTTCACCCTGTATATTTGCTTTGAAAAAAAAAAATACATGAAGTTATTCAATAAATTTATAATTTTGGAAACAACTGATGTAGAATCATAAAGGATCAGGTATTTGCATCTTTTTTGAAAGATTAAAATTATGTCGTGTTTCGTACGTAAAAATCACGTCTTTCGATCATTTCTATAAATATAACCATGACAATACCGGTTTATTTTACGATAATTTGGATAATCGGAGTTTTATGGGTGAGTTACAACGACTGCATTAACCTCTGTTAGTAATACTAATTAAATACGCGCTACCGGTTGAAGATTGAATATTTAAGATTGTCAAGTACTTTTTGGAATGTAAATTTACATCATTCTATGCGTAGACCATATACTATTGGTGTTCGGAACATTCACGGATAAATGGGCGTAAAGTAGCCTTTCAAGTAAATTACGATAAAAGAGGTAGCGCGACGTCCGTCGAGTCGTCGGATCTATCCGACAATGAAGAAACTGTAAAGCGTAATAAGAGACGAAGGTTAAAGTACGAGGTATATTCGATGACACGAATTTGCGTTACGTGAAAGGAAAGCTTCCGGGGTTCCAATAACCCTTTTCCTTCAGGGCACAAGTTTCTCATAACAAATTATCAATCCAGTGAATAGACTGTTATTTATTAAATACGTAACTTAAATTCTCGAATTGATCTATCTACAACGAAACCGAACAACTAAATGGTATAGCCATCTAATGACGAACGGATCGAACTATTACATGCGAAGGCGAGGTAAGTGGATTTGACTGGAGAAGGCCCACCAAATTCACTGAAATTCTTCGTATCAGAATAAGAATCAATAGTCCAAATATAGAAGATCATCAGTTCTATCGGGGGTTTTGTTCTAATTTTCAACAAGTCCCACTCCAGCCTTGTGTCCCTGTGTATATGTTGATCACAACTACTAGATTACATACAAATATTTAATTTAGATCAGACTACAAGCAAATATCGAGATTGTAGAAACTTGTAAGAGCTGCTTATCATTCCGAGTAAGGGCCCAATATGAATGCTCTTTTGCTTGTTCGTACGAAAGAGCTATTAATCATTATGAGAGAATTTTTCAAATGAACATCAGGCATTTGCACTGCCCCTCGATATCTGACAACCAGTGTTACTACAAGGGGTCCCCCATTAGTTGGTGCAGGTGGAATAGGGTGACTTTCCCCTTACCTGTGTGGACTTACGGCTCATTCAACCATCACCAATCCCCATACTAGGGTAGAGATAGCATGAAAGGGACAAATCAATTCACACATATTAACGTCAACGCGTTTTAACGTAGAAGACTTAACTGTAAACTTGTTAATTTAAAAAGCAAGATTCAAGAGTAGTTCGATCCGTTCGGTTATACCATTTCACTATCTTTCTTTTGTAATCATCGAACCAAATGGGACTTGGGGGGCTATTTTTTCTAAAAAGGATTAACATAATCTGTGGATGAAAACGATATTTTTCGTAATTAATTTCGTTGCAGGCTAAAACGCGTTGGCCAAGTAGGACATCGGTAAATGCAATGTAGGGACACGACCGAAGAACTATTTAACCTTTTTTGTCATCATGCAAACGAAAATAAAGTACCAGTAATGCTTGTACATACGTGAAAAAATAAAACGATACTATGTGACGCTGTTACAGGATTTTGGAAGTTTATAACCTAACAATCCCACTAATTTCTTGTTTATTGTTTCGATAGGTACAAGGTATACGATAAATACACATAGGACTTTAGTTATATATAATGATAGACAATAATAATAAACCAATCTCGTAGGTATACGAAAGTCGCCTAAGTATTATGGCACATCACAGAACGTGCAACAATGAAATTTCGAGTTCCATATATTCGGCAAAAAAAGAGAAAAAAATAAAGTACGTGACGTAATATCACATTTCATACGGGATTAAAACGAGTGTTTTCTGTTATTCGAAATAAAAAAACGATCCAAGACTGGCAAATAATCCGAAAAAAAAAACTGTCTCGTACGAATCATCAGAGTGCTGTTTCAACGATCAGAAATATTCTATAAAATTTATTCATTACGTAGAAACACGCTTTCATGTAAAGATGTAATTACTTTTATAAACGTTCATCTAACTAGTCAAGCAATATGCACGTTTATTGCGGGGAAAAAGCATTCGAAATCTTAATCTACGATTTAAATACTGCTAAGGAATATTCAGATTTTTATGTTGATGTAGGTGCTAGGAGCACGTGTTCGAACGCGATTATTTCATTTCACTTATTTACTCGATAAGAATTCACGTCGGTACTTTTCAAGCGTTGCCGGCATGAGAGCGCAGAAAAATTTCTATCGAAAACAAACAAAAGACTATAAACGAAACTATAAATAAATTCGAATTTATTTGTATTAAGTATAATATGATTAACAAAAAGAGATAAAATAATACTAAAAATTAAACATTTGCTAACTTACAAATATCGTTCTACGGTAATTAGAATTGTGTACACTCTTTACAAAATAAGGATTAACGTATTTTTAAATCTTTTGGTAAATCGAACAGAAAAACAGCACGGTTACTATCACTGATTTTTTGTTTTGTTCGTTCCTCGTTCTTTCAAATGAAATCATCGAGAACTCATTTAAAAAAAAAAAAAAGACAAAAATTTCTTGTACCAAGCAAGACGTCGACACATCATATTTAGAGTACGGTATATTTATTGTGCCGTCGAGTAACCTGCATCTAACACTATTTGCATTCTGGTCGAGTGAGCGTCGGAATATCTATGTTCCTTCGTACAATTGTTTACTTCAAGCAACAGAAGCTTTCATACGTATCCATTGACAACCCATTCTGAATACAAATCGCCAACAATCGAAACTCAAAATACCCTTCAACGCTATTCATCTTTGGTCGAACAAAATTGTACTTTCTCACGTTTAAACGATACGAGCTAAAAGATATCATAAGGGGGAGGGGTGGGAGAAAAAAAATTGCATTATTCTCGCTGTTATTGCTGTAACTGTAGTTTTGTAGAGGTAAACAATAGCTTATTCTACTTCACTAAACGTGTACCTTTAGGTGATGCATTTTGAAAGACACAGGCGTTAGAGTGTATGTCGTGAAAACGATAATCCGAGAGCACGATTCACATTGAACAGTGAAGCTTACACACACTGTCTACAAAAAAAACGGGAGTATTCTCGGCATAGGAAACTATACAGAAAGCATCTTCCTCCGTGCGAATCACGAACTCGTCTTTGCACACTGTGATCGACCCGACCGTTTGTCTGACAAGCGTTAATTTGATCGAAATATCACAATACACAAACGATTACATTCTAAGATATGGCAATCTCACAGCACACTAATTAAACAGAGATCTTGTATAAAAATAAATAAGGATTTCTTCAACGAAATATTCGATAAAAATAAACTAAAATAGTTATATAAATTATATTACAAACGTTAGATTACCGTGTGCTAGAGCAGCTACGATCAAAAAGATTCTCAATGTTGCAAAAGTTCATCGATCAATGGACAAGTGTAACACGTCGAGACTGTTTGCTATTGGAGCACGTTCTCTAGCACAACGAATCTATTTGTAAACACAACGATCACAAAATATAATCGACCACTCCATATGCAAACTTATCACCATGTAATTTTTACTCGTCGATATCGAAAATGTTTAACCTTAATCGAGAACGTAAGAGTATCCTATGGAAAAAGAAAAAATTCGCGTACCGTCTCGTAAAGCATAGCACGTAACCGACACACTTTTTGAACCTTTCTTAAGCCTGTAATTACGTATCGAGTTTTTAAGTTAAGGAGGCACGCATCTCGTGCTCTCTGACTGATGTAATTAGACCTTAAAACGAAAATTTAGAGTCGTCGATAATTAACGTTCCTCTCTACTAAGAAAATTGGAATGTACTTAAACGATAGAAGACCGATTACGTCCACGCTATTCGCGAACGGTTTTGAATCGAGGGCAAGAAACGTTGCGCGTACATTATTTATCGTTGTCCGACTCCTGTCGCTAAACCGAACACACCGAATGCGAAAAGCCTACAAATTGCGTTCCAAATATATTAAAAACTCGCACCAGTCAAGAACACTATAGCCGATAATACATGGAGTATAAAAAGTAGTTAAATATGACGATCGTTTTCGTATTACGAACGAAGTATCATTTTGCCCATTAAGCAAAAACACGTTTCCTTTTAGGTAGTTTGACTCTGACTGAGAAGCTCCTCGAGCGACAGCACTGGTTCCCGCCAATACACAAAATGGCTGAACTCATCCGCAGCGTCTTCCCTCCAGGCTGGGAAAAGATGGTCGACTAGGTAGCTCATGTTTGAATATCTGGAAAAAAAAAAACAACGAGAAAGACATCATACAGCCATCGATAGATACTTATATTCGGCGATGAAGGTCGACAAATACAGTGAACAGAGGGCAAATGTCAAACGTTTCGTTTCAGAGTCTAGTATTATTTGAACAATTTTGAATAAATCTGTTACGCGTTTAATTATTTGGATTTAATCATTTTCGTTCCCATTCGCTTGAATAAAAGATCATAAATGAAACGTTGTTTGTTAAGTAAACGAGAGAATGATTCTTCTCGCACGCATGACGTGTAGAATTTTCGTGCAGTATGTGATTTTGATGCGACGCGTGGTACTTGTATTTTTGTGTGAAATGTATAATTTTTGTGCAGTTTGTGTGGTGTTTGTTGCATTTCTGCGTATAATGTGATTTTTGTGTAGTGTTTGTCACGTTTTCGAGCCATTTGTGTAACACCCTGTATGTTTTCGTACCACACAAAAATCACATACAACGCACGATTATGATGTGCAGCGTTGTACACACAGATATACCACACCCACGCGCGTGCGTACGCAAAGGATTATCTTCTCGCTTTACATAACCAATAAAAGTTTTATTCACGAGTCGCGAATAAACTTTTATCCATATAGAAATTCATTGCTGGTTATATGGATGGCGAGTAAAGTTCTATTAGCGACTCGTGGAATAAAAGCGTGCCTAACTCTGGTTACAAAAAGAGAGATTTGCCGTGTGCTCCTTCGTTATTCAAGATACACATTCATCTGATTATTATATCGGTAAAGATTTGGGTCTTGAGATATATGTACGGAATGATCGTTAGGGACTGAGACTACCTGTACCTCCGTCGAGAAAAAAAATCGATGGGATTGCAAGCTTTTTGCGGCCCGGAGGTATTTGATCGTTTGAGCGAAGATTCTGCCCAACAGAAACTTCCATGCAAAGAGTTAACGGTGAAATTTTAGTGTTTTTTATACCTATGTATGCAGGGAACAATTTTAATGGAAGATTCTGGGCCAAAATAAAACGAAAATCAAGATATCAATCTCTTGACTGAGACTTCGTTAAAAAGTTATTAACAATTAAATTAAAAAATTTCAAATCGTTCTGCAAAAATTATTTTCGGTTGCAGGGGTCAATTATAATCATTTTTGGTGATTAGACATACCCCCGAAATCCTACGCGTTTTCGAGAAAAAAAATCGAGTAGCTAGACAAATTCTTCGACGAAAAAAAAAATTTCAAATCGTTCTGGAAAAATTATTTTCGATTGCGGGGGTCAATTATAATCATTTTTGGTGATTATACATACCCCCGAAATCCTACGCATTTTCGAGAAAAAAATTCGAGTAGGTAGACAAATTTTTCGACAAAATTAAAAAATTGCAAATCGTTTCGAAAAAATTATTTTTGATTGTGGGGGTCAGTTACAATCATTTTTGGTGAATAGACACACCCTCGAAATCCTGCACATTTGCGAGAAAAAAATTCGAGAATATGAAATTTTTCGACAAAATTAAAAAATTTTAAATCGTTCTAAAAAAATTATATTTGGTTGCGGGGATCAATTACAAGCATTATTGGTCAATAGACATACCCCCGAAATCCAAACCATTTTCGAGAAAAAAATTCAAGAAAGTATGAAATTCTTCGACAAAATTAAAAAATTTCAAATCATTTTAAAAAAATTATTTTCAGTTGCAGAGATCGATTGCAAACATTTTTGGTGAATAGACATACCCCCGAATTCCTATCCACTTTCGAGAAAAAAATTCGGAACGAGCAGAACATTGAGAGTTAATAACTTTTTAACGAAGCCTCCATTTAGAAATTAGTTTTTTTGATTTTCGTCTTGTTTTGACCTCTAGAATCTTTCATTAAAATTTTTCCCAGGGGTGGTCGTAGACCCTATATATACATATATACATATATGTATACATATAAACACTAAAATTGAAGAATGACTGCTCAGCGAAATTTGGAGAAGCGATAACGTGGGGTTTCTCCATGCGCAAATTTGCAACTTGCATATGTAAATATGTTCGAAGTACTTGGTTGAAAATTCGTGCACAGTCAGAACGGGTAAAAAAAACAATTTTGAAGTACACATCGACACACCCCGGAAGCTCTCATAATTCGAAGATGTTCGATGCGTGTGTTAAATGTATTAAATTCATCAAACGATCTCGAACAAGGTTACGTGGTGATAAATTCATTCCAAATTGCATCATAACACTTAAGGCGATGACAACGTTAGGATCGCTAAAGATGAATGGACCGGTGAAGATGGAAGTGATAAAAAAAGCAACTGTGTAACAAGTGCTTACCCTATAAATTATAAGAAGATAGAAGTTGTTGCACAACCAAATACCTCAAAACATACTAATCGCGACGAACTTAATGGAAATTAGACTTCTAGCTAATTTGTCCACCTTGAAAGACACTGCCATTGGAAAAGTTATCTTTTATCTAAACGTGCAGGTACTACTCTCCCCGTCTCGACGAATCTCATATGGAATATACGTATATACAAGTATATGTGTAAAAATTGTATACGTCACGAGTGCGCGTACTATTTGCCCTAATAATCGACGTACTAGAAAACTAGAAATATTACTAACTCTATATAGAAAATACATTGTACGGAATAATATTCCAGTCATGAGGTAGCAAGTCAACACGTATGAAATTGAGTCCAGTACCAACGGTACTAATGTACAACTATGCAAGTATCGTTCAACGAAACATTATCAGCTGAGCTAATAGAATGAAACAGCTATTATGGTTGTGCCGCCATCAGTAGGTGTTTCGCATGGGCAGTGGCGGGAATAACTCATTGACGATATCGCACTGACACGCGTAGCTGCAATCACAGAAATATCCGACCTATCAGTATCCCTTATTTTCAATCATCAGAGTGTAAATGCGTCTTCCTTTATTCGCTTTCTCGCATAAATTTCATATTTATTCGCTTCTTTGGCGTCAATATTTGCCATTAAAAATGCCAGTTAAGGGGGTAGTCTGAAAGTTTAACAAAAAACAAAAATCGATCTTTTAAATTCTATCTCCTAATAGATTCAGGTCCTAAAACTCGTTGCCCTGGAAAGATTGCGGTGAAATATCATGAAACTTTCAACTTAAATTATTTGTATGTTCGAAGACTGTACGCTGAAACATCGAAGTCGTTTTTTCTGTTTCAAAACGATATTTCTCGGGCATGGCTATGCATGATATAGAAAAAAACGTTTATCTAAAAAGTGAACCAGCATGAACACAAAATATTAATATTATTAAAATAAAGTTCAACAATTAGTTTTCTTAATTTTACAAATCTTGGCTCCGTGATGGTTTACTCGATAGATAAACTAAAAAAATGATGCATGTATATCTCATTAAATTAAATCGCATTACGTATACGTTTGCTAATTTCCATTCCAATCAAATTATTTCTTCGCAGAAAAACAAATTTTAAAATACACTTTTCGGACCAAAATAGCAGACTGCCCTCTTAACAAATTAAATTCTATTCTATCGCGTAACAATGCACTAATGTAGAAACATGCAACAGACTTTAACGTGTTTCAACTTTTTAACATACGCATAAATGATTTCAGTGTCGAGTACAACATAGTAAAATAACACGCAAGTAAATATTTATCTGAACGTTATGTATGCGTGGTCATGTATTCAATTAAATAGTACTAAAGAAATATAAATTAATAGAAAATATGTTAAAACAAATATAAATGTATGCAGTTACTTACGAGGATTGGAATGTCTGTGTCAACTCGTGTTTCAATTCACCTCTGTGGTTTATAGTGAATATCCGCATAGTCGGAATTCCTACGGCTCGATACGCCCAAACATCCTGCAAAAAAATATTGCATCATAATATTTACATATACCAGCATTTTTGTGCTATAATAACTTGAATATTTACGTTAATTCGATTCCCGTAACCAGCGTAGAATGGCTTGGAGCCTTCGGGGAACAATGCTTGAATATCGCTGAGACAGGATATTTTGAATTCCTCGGGTTTCTTCTCTATCACTTCACGATGGAATGCTGAAATCAGACTGGTGGGATTCAAAAGCAACGGTCCTTCGGGCAGCGACAAATCCCCCTGCTTGATGCTCTTCAGATACTCTCTGGTAACTTTGGCCTGTCCAATAGCTCTTGCCGAGAGATACAGCAATTTGTATCCATTATTCTTAATCTTTGTAAACAACTGAGCAACGCCCGATTGGGCCCAGTCTTTGCCAACGATCGGCAGAATATGACCCAACACGTCGGATTTTGTGATAGTACCGTCGATATCGGAGATAACGATCTTGTCGTCCCATCTCCACTTATAAATGTGACATTTGCAACGCGTTGTGCCTTGGTACGCGGTCGTCACGCTAAACACAACTTTGTTAGCACCGTCTTTTAAATTCAGGCTTGCCTGCAAAGAAATGAATCATAAAAAATTCTTTCCCGCCATTGGACGATCATTAGAGAACTACGAGTACTCACTATTTGTACAGACGACAATCTTAAAGTTTTGCGGTATTTCTCCGTGGACTCGTAATACGATCTCCTTTCTTTGGGTATCTTAACTCCTTGCGATTTGTTTTGATTATTATCAGAATCCTCGCTGCCGCTGTAGCCCTCGCCCTCTTTATCGCGGGTTTTGTCAGTCTTGGCGATATCCGTTATTAACGTTGTACATTGTTCTGCAGTCTTGGCCTCGGAGGGTATAGACTCAATATTCTGATCAGTCTTTGCGTCCCTGTTTGAAATTTCGTCGACCGAAGCGCCCTCTTTCTCGATCAGTTGCTCCGAAGATTGCATATTGACTCCGTCGGCTACCCACGCATAAAATAACGAGAATTGTAGACAAGTAAACAATTTAAAAAGTGTGACGTCTTTTTAAGTACTTACTTTGACTAAGTTCCTGAGATTTTTTAGGCGGTTGCGTGGAACGTCTCCACGAAAACCATGAACTGTAACCGCTGCGAATTTCAGTCTTCCCACTGTTGTCCTGCTTCTTATCCTGATGCATTGGTAACGGCATGCATTGCGCGTACAGATTCTCTACCGTACTTTGCGGCAAATGTCTTTGAAAAACCGCATAGGTCATCACGATCGGGCAAGCGGTAGCCCAATTGTAAAATTTGTCATTGATCTTTACAACTAAATTTGGATTCTCGTATAATTTCGGGTCCGAGCAAATGTCCTCGAAATGTAGCAAATTCTGATGAAAAGCTTCTTTGGCCGGACCGTTCTCGGAATCTAAACCACCGCACAGGGATAAACTAATGTCCATGTTGTTGTCGAATATAGAATGCTTTGGTTCCTCAAAGTCGCTGTCCAACGATTTTGGCCCACCGATAACTTCCTCGACGCTGTTTGGACTTTGCGGTAAACTGGGTCCGTTACCTGATTCTGTGTCCTCCTCGTCCATCCCTTTACCATCTAGGAAGACAGAAATTCATCACTTCGATTCACAGGTTTTATGTACGTCACGCAACAACCACATTTTCACATATTATCGTCAGTTTAACGATTAGTACACGTTACAATAGTAATTCTTATACGTTATAAACGTTTCAATAAAATGAGAAAGCAGTAATATTTAAATGTTTAGTTGTTTTTAGTAATGCAGTATGTAAACACATCGGAGATTAATGTTAATTAAGCTTACAGTAAATATAATAAAATAAGATGAATAAGCAGTTAACCCATCCGCTAATACATAAAAATCTTTCATACGGCAATGCAACAGCGAATTTTGTTTTGTACCTTTAACCGCTGTTGGATCTCTGTGAGAAGAGGGGAAATAAAGAGCCGCAACGTCGGGGTCCAGTTCGTCGGCATTAATGTCACTGAGGTAAATTCCCTCGGATTCTGGATTGTGTCTTACACGAGAGGTCTTCTTCATAAACGAGAACATACCACTGAGCATTGACCGATGTGCCTCTGCTACCATTGAAAAAGCAGTTGGCAAAATGTTAGTCTAAAGCGTATGACACAATGCTCACTGGGATGAAAAGATTCCACAATGCAATGTTATTACTATCGACGTCGTGTATGCGTGTGTACTTGTATACCTGTCGTCTGCCTCTGTGTGTGTGTGTATGTGTGTGTAATGATAAGAAAGTGATGGTTAATTTAAAAATACACAAAACGAAAATTTATATAATATGAATTAATTTATATGCATAAACATCTACCCAAATATTTCTTTAACGTACAAGAATTTCAGTTGAACCAAAAATGAAAGTTTTGAATCGTAGATAGATAAGAGAAAAAATAATCTACTAACTATTGTTTGGCTGGTTTACGGCGATCGATGAATTCAACGAATTTCTATGGGACACGTGTGTTGCGTCCAGAGGTAGACTCGGCAGTTCACCCCATCTCCAGCTCTGCTGATGCCCTTTGTCTTCTCCTTCCGTGCCTTCTTGAGTGATTTTGCGCATTTCGAACTCTGTGTCAGACTGAACGGGTGAACATGGCCTGGAATCCTGATTCCTGTTAAACGCGATGATAGCAGAACAGTGCAATAATTAATTTTACGTGTGAATTTAGTTTTGTCAGTAATGTGAATATATTTAAATCGACTTACTTTGTCACTTCGGTATCACTGAAGAAATGGAAGTCCGTTTCAGGACGTTTCTCTGTCGTTTCCTGCACAGATGTCATAGGTTCGGCAGAATCGTTATTCTCCAATTCTGTGGTCGGATTTGGTCCCTTTAACATCTTTGATAAATATACATATATCAATAAGCAAACACCGCAATATTTAATTTTTTAAACGTTTACAACTTACAGATTCGCTGAGAGATTCGTCGGCAACAGCCGTGTCGTTTTCGCTCATTTCCGTTTGGCTACTGCTACCGTTGCTAGTTCTTCTTTGAGATCCCTTTTTCTTCATAATGCTCCTCCTCTTACGTTTTCTCTTCGTCAAATTGGTATTCTTGTTTTCCTCGACACTCTCGTTCTTTGAATTCTTTTTACACAACGACGAGTTCGACTCGTCGCTCGATTTTTTCTTCCCGTTACTTTTCTCGTCATCCGTGATCGGTCTGAAGTCATTGTTTACCACGCTAATTTTACGAATTCTGTCAGACGAAGTCACGGCTATGAACAATTTAGGCGTCGACGCAGCTGTATGTGTTTCATCGTCATTTATACCATCCATATCGAATATCTCTTCTTCGGGTTTCAAGGAGTCCCGTTTCTCGTCTTCTTTTATCTTCCAATCGCTCAACAACGCTTTCTCGAACTTGTGTCTTTGCTCCGCAGGCAATTCAGGGAAATTTTCTTTGAACAACTTTTCCTTGTCCTCTGTTTTCAGAGCTGAATATTGTTCACGAATCATTTGTTGCTTCTGCAAAGTGGATATATTAGCAAAATGTTCTCTGAACATTTCGTCCCTTTCCTCCACGGTCAAAGAAGCTATTTGCAGCCACTTCTTTCGATGTTCCGCCGGCAGGTCAGAAAACTGCTCGGTTAAGAAATTTTCCCTTTGATTGGGCGGCAGAGCAGACATCTGTTCCCATTTTTCTTTTTCAATGGACAGAACAGACTCTATGAGAATTTTGTCTCTTTGTTCCTTGGGGAGATCGGAGATAATGTTGAACCTAGATGGTGGAAAACAGTTGTCGTCTGGAATGGGCGAACAAGCCAAATGAGGTGGAATTTCTGTGTCTGTCGGAGAACCATCGGAGCTGACTTCTTCTACGAAGAAAGCTTCTCCGGAGTCTCCCAGTTTCATGTGAATTTGTCTCGGTTCTCCATTTATTTCTATGTCCACCTGCAAAAGAGGAATAGATCTGGTGAATCATGTGCTTTTATCTCAAATAAAATGCTAATATATAAAAGTTTCAATTTAATATCTCTTCAAGATCACTCTTGCTATATCACCTTCTGTGTACAAAACTATATGCAACGCATGCATAGGCCGGTGAATGTAGTTAACAACTCCATTGACTTTTTTTATGCTCGTCCCACCCATTCAAAAGATCCTTATATTCATTAATATGTTCAAATAACCTTGCGACGTAACTGTACTATAGTCCCCTATAAACACTATTTACCTCTTGTTATTCTAAATAACGAGGCTCGGACCCATCAATAATGAAATCAAATATCGAGAACTGTAACTCGGAGAAAGAGAAATCGAGAATGTATCTTTCGAAAATTAAAATACACGGATATTCCCGCTTCGAAAGTAAACACACGGGGTACGAATCTTTATCGCGAACGAACCGTAGAAAACGTGCAAACGCATAAACTCACCACTTTTTCCCTGGAACGAAGCACGCCAAGTTTCCCGAAACGTACGTGGAAGGGCGAACAAGTGAAAGATCCATCCGGTTGTTCGACGACGACGACGTCGATAGCGCCGGTGAGCGTCGCCGCGTTGATCTCATTGTAAAAGTCGCGAAAATTGCTAATGAATTTGCCGATGTAGTTCATGCTGTACATCTTTCGATCAATGTTATGGTCAAAGCCACTCTTGATGCGAATTTCTAGTGAAATGGTTTCACCGCGTTTAGTCAACCGACGTGTCTTCGAGATGCTTCGAAGTTACGAAGGTACGTGGATCTTTAGAGGGCTTCTACGATGGTAGACGCACTGTCCGACGTAAATTCCGTTCCGAGATTTACCTAACCATGCCGAGACAACGGTTGTCGCTGACATTCACGAAACTCACGAGACGCGACGATACCTGGCCGTGACGAACCGGAGAGCCACGATCAACGCCGAAACCGTGATTTGACGGTTACGCGACGGGAACCGATACTGCGTCACTGACCCCCGAGAGCAGACGTTTCGGAACTGTCAAGGATTCAAAGCCGGGTAAATACGTCGATCGAGTACAGAGAACAATCGCGTTTATCGCGCGGGTTGTCCGCCGTGAGGCATAATTTAAAGCTGCGAGTTCAAGGTCGAAGGACAGGCGAAGCAATATCCCTCTCGAGAAGGATAAATACGTGATATAAACCGCACGCGAATCCTTTGTTCTTCGACGGTTCGTCGAGAAATCCGCACGACCACTAGCAGACGGTAGTCGCAGTTGACGTTACGAGGATCACGTGCCTCGCCTTAGCCAATCCGAGCGCCGATACGCGTCGGTCAATAAGACCCTCTGGCCACGTGACGAGACTCGTTATTTACCGCGTTCTTTGAATCGCACTTCGGACCTGCAACAGAGAATGACAGTCGTTAGTCACCGACACTAATTTTATTCGACTAAACACTTATCGCACTACGCATACACAGTACAAAGCGTGACCATTGGCACGTAGCAATTCTACAAATAAAACCACTTGGAGGTATAAACAAAGTTATCGTAGACTTTGGTTCTTATCATAACTTAATGATATATTAATATACAAATAAGTAAATTGTTTTTCATAATTTAACAATATACGTATTTTATAATATAACATTTATTTTTTCTAGAATACGAGACAAAGTTATATTATGATGAAAATCGAATGTTTGCGATGATTATTTTTTTTTTTATGTTGACGACTAGTTTTATTCGGAGAATTGTTCCGTGCCAATACACTTATGCTCGGCACTGTACTTCTTTGACCGCTATAACCGAAGACGTGTCTCTCGGTCGTAAATACCGCCATACCGCTCGATGACGCAGCCCTTCCGTCTCTAAACGTTCTCGAACGTTTCGTCGATAACGGCGGACTAGAAGTTTCGACGTGAATCCAATTTTCGGCTGGTGTCAAAGCCGCGGATCGCGATGCACGCGAAATCCTACAACCGCGAAGTTAAAACGAGGCTTAATGTTATGTAAGCCCTTACGCTGCTCGTTTCGCGTTAGCAAATCAAGAGATAAAACGGGTTTGCGTTCCGTCGATGCGTTTGTCATACTTTTCAATAAATTGACCGTTGAACCCGGCAGAAAAAAAATCCGTCGTGTGCACAAGCGTGGATTAACGCAAGATTTACAGAACCCATTGACGGATTTTCACGCAGTAACGGAACAAAGGAAACGTTATTTAGCGATATTATTAAATAGAATAGACGATATCAATATCAAAGTACTTAATGAGGTGTATTGAGAGGTATCACTAATATCACAGCTCTGGTACTTGATATCAAATTCCCGATACCGACGATTACAGAATTATTACCACATTGTACCGAGTAAACACCGATATTATCGTCTATACAGGGTGTTCGGACTCTCCTGGGAAAAATTTTAATGGGAGATTGCAGAGGTCAAAATAAGATGAAAATCCAGAATATTCATTTCTTGATTAAGGCTTTGTTAAAAAGTTATTAACAATTAAATTCAAAAATTTCAAATCGTTCTGGAAAAATTATTTTCGGTTGCAGGGGTCAATTATAATAATTTTTGGTGATTAGACATACCCCCGGAATCCTACGCATTTTCGAAAAAAAAATTCGAGTAAGACAAATTTTTCGACAAAATTAAAAAATTGCAAATCGTACTAAAAAAATTATTTTTGATTGCGGGGGTCAGTTACAATCATTTTTGGTGATTAGACGTACCCCCGAAATCCTATGCATTTTCGAAAAAAAAATTAAAATAGACAAATTTTTCGACGAAAAAAAAAATCTCAAATTGTTCTAAAAAAATTATTTTCGGTTGCGGGGGGCAATTACGATCATTTTTGGTCATTACACACACCCCCGAAATCCTACCCACTTTCTAGAAAAAAATTCGAGAAAGTGTGAAATTTTTCGACGGAAAAAAAAAATTTCAAATCGTTTTGGAAAAATTATTTTCGGTTCCTGGGGTCAATTACAATAATTTTTGGTGAATAGACATATCCCCGAAATCTTGCCCATTTTCGAGAAAAAAATTCAGTACAAACGAAACTTTAAACGTTAATAACTTTTTAACGAACCATCAACTTTTTTTCAAAAATTTTTCCCAGGCGTGGCCGAACACCCTGTATATATAACAAAGTGAGAAACAAAGTGCAATCAGTATGAAGTAAACAAGTGCAAAAAAACAGATATCATTTCGAGAAATTATCATTGAAATTGCGAAAATATGAAAGATTTTACTTTTGTTCGATACTACAGGCGGTATCACGTTTGAAACGGTTGTTTATACCAATTTTATTGTTTCGGACGGTCTCAGGAGCAACACTTTCTCAAAGCTTGCGTAAAAGAGAAGGTTCGTGTACGAGCGAACACGTAAGCCTCAGGGACAAGAAATATATAGTTCTAGACCGTTCCTTAATCGTTTACGCAAACTATGTCGAAGCATTTGGAAACTATTCCCAACCAATCCATTCATCATGGAACATTGCAGAAATATTGCAAGAATATTTTTATGTTTAGAAATATTTGTTGATTTATGGTTCAGATGTCGCTGCAGCCTGTCAATGCTAGCCCCTGTTGCGCTAACCTTTCAAACGTTGCACAAAGATTTCCAAAATATTCCAGAAATAGATTTCTATTTCTATTTCTATCTATATATTAACAATGCATGTCTTACAATAGACGTAAGCTACTGCATCTATGTCACGACGTCAGAAAATTTATTGTTTGCTTTTCCCTGTGAACATTCGTTAGGAAGTTCTAACAAATTGACTAGAAAATCTGACAAATTGCTACAACCATTGGCACGACAATACGGAGACTATTTTCAAACCGTTTTCAGTAAATAACATTTTTAATTCGATCTATTCTCCTGACCCAAACCTAACCCTAATTTACCGATGCAGTTATCGCAATCGCGACATCTCGTTTGGATATTGGTAAATAAGTGTGACGAGCGTATGAGTCATAGGACTCGTCACTCGTGCTCGGCTTTTTCCTCAACCATTTGCTTGTAACAACAACGGAATACACCTACGTACATGTGTAACATTCAATGTAAAGAGAACGGGCGAAGGGCGCCAAAATATCTAGACACGGCCTTGGTTGTAATATCGCTGTAACAGAAGTGTAACTGCAATATTCCCGCAATGCACCGTGTTGTGTCGAACACATTTTTCCGAATGCATAATGCAGAAGGTTGCTGTGTTGATTTGTTACATAAACATGTACGTATTAATCGAAGAACGTGCAAAAATTTGATTCGTAGGTTCGTTTCGTTGCAACGACGATAATAAAGTGTGGAAAGGAGGAGATTCGTGAAAATCGCATGCATTATTTTCGAACGCTTGTATTTCGGCCAAACGATCGTATTTTATCGCGAGAAATCGACGCCGATAATTTCGGCCAAATTTAAAACGAAAGGCAGCGTCGATTATTCGTTCAAATTCTCGAGATAGATGTCACGTACGGTACGATTTAATATTACGTAACCAGGCAAATCGTTCGTAAACTCCCTAGACGGGCGAGACTGACTGTTGGACGAATTTCAAGAAATTCAGCCCGTCGGTATTCTCCCAAGATTACATGGAATTTTTCCGCGTGACGTTCTCGTACGCCGTCTCTTTCTTTCGCGTGCTTTTTCTCTCGTCGACATTGAGAGGACCCAGGTGTAAATATTGTTAACGCTGACAGTTCGATCGTCGACAATCGACATCGTTAATTGTGACGCAATTCAACTAACTTCGAAGTTACGAAACAGTATCGACGTTCGGGAGTGTTTTTGCACGCTCGATGTCTGCGTACCGAGGATGGGAAATGGAGGGAAGGTTAGGTTTTCAATTTTGGCACACTACGGTGACACTGATTGTTCATAAACAACTGTCCGATCGCTAAGTGGGCTCGAGTCGAGTCACGGTCGTTTATGCCTTCTTGTAAAACGCAAAGGTTGCGTGAAACATTTGACAAGCGGTTCAGGGAGAAGGAGAAGCAGCTGTTTCCGGGAAGAAACAGGCGTCCTTTTGTGCCAACCGTTCCGATGAACGATTCGCTCGCTCGACTCCCTGAAACGACCGTCGTGTGTCCCCGGTGCTCGCCTGAGGAATCACGAGTCGGTGGCTCCGCGTCCGCCTATATCCATTGCACGCGATATCCGAAGCACGGAATGCAAACTGCCTTGTTAAAAATTGCAGCGCCCCACGCGTTCTAGGGCCAAACTAATACCGATAACTATAATACAATAGAAATGACGAGTCTACGCTTGGACGATACCTCCGCGTTCGTTCTTTTCTCTTTGATAGCTCTCTTTTCTCACGTTTCTTCGATGGACGACTTTCACGAAAGTCACGAAATGTTATTGGCGCGTGCAAGCCGTGACCTCTCCCCTTTCTTCGTTGCCACGAAGCTTATCTCGCTAACCACGCTTATGCAATCACGGCTGTATCGAAACTAAGAGCGATTCTACGAATCGGCCACCTACATTTTATTGTAAAAGTTAATGTTATTACGCTATTTTATTATTTAAAGATAACCGATAATAGGTCAAAAACGTTTATAAATAGCGTGTCCTCGAGCTACGCAAATTCATAGATACACGACTGTGTTCCCCACATATGTTTTTATATATTTTATCTATGTACTCACGCATGGAAGAAAGTTTGATTTTCTTCGATGCTTTTTTTAACGACAGTGTCGTACGAATCGATTTCGATTTACTTTTGTAACGAAAATTGTATATTAAGCGTGTTGTAAGGTGACAGAAAGATTTTAGACGGAATCGCGAGTGGCGGTGGGTCAGACATTTATCTCTCCACGGTATAACTGATCTGCACAAAAAATGTGTCTCTAATTTAAATAACAAGCTACTTTACAGCGGACTTTGCTCGCGATTAAGCGTAAAACGAATCTACATGAACGAAATCACTGGCAAAAGTTAATCGTATAATAAATAACTACGTCTGTAGTCCATATTAGTAATTTTCGTCGTACTGTATTGCTTTTAAACGCCATTACGTGATCTCGTTCGCGATCGATGAACGATGACCGTTGATCGGCAAACGCCCGGCATATTATGAGCAGCGTTTCTCTAATTGGGGCCCGCGAACGCATTAGTGGGGGGTCTGAGTTCTCAGAAGAAAGAAAACATTAGATACATTATACAATAAAATTTATACTTCCTGTAATATTTTATTTTTATTATTTTAGAAGGTGACAAAATTTTTGTAAACAGGTTTAAATCATATTAAATACGTTAATTGTTTTGCAAGTGGTTGAACAAGAATATTTCTTTACCGAATCCACAAATACACGAAATTTAAGAAACTTCTTCAGGACTTGGACTCGAAGCTATCGACAGATTGATTGTATTACTCAGCGTTAGAGAGTG